AAAAAATAAATAAAAATTACCATAAAAATATTTAAGAAGAAAAAATTCTTGGAAAAAATGTGGGAGGGTGAAGAAAATAAAAAATTCAATTTGAAAGAGAATTATAAAATTTAACTCTTGCAAATAACTTATTTAGAAATAAATATACCATTAATCACATATGCAGCTTCTTAAGATGCTGCATCAGAATACTATGAACTTTAAACATTTTGGGAAGTATTGTTTATTCTCTACTGCCTGGCACTTTCAAGAAATTCAGTTCACTATAGCAACTTGTCTTAATACAACAGATAAATGCAGGCTAAATTTGACTATGATTGTTTTCCAGTTAGCCATCCTTCCTTTCCCTTTTACTTAATGCTATGATCTAAGACACCAAAACATTGTTCAATCAAGAAGAAAAGAGTACAAATGATAACATTATGTTTCAGTACCACCAAAACAGAGAATCTCTATAACAAGCAGCAAAGCTCCTGAAGGAGAGCACATTTTATAATGGCATGTCTCAGAGATTTATATTTAGATACTACTGTTCTCTGTAGTATTGACTTTTGCTTCTAAATGCCAAGTGCTACATTCAAATATCAACATCAATCAATTATGCAGAAAATATTGGGTTAATTTATTGTCAGCAAATTTCTAAACAAAACCTTTTCCTCTATTATATTTCCAAGTATTATGATTCCATGCAGTCACTAGTACTTAAAAAAAGAATATATTCTGCTAAAAGCAGTCCTTTACAGTCATTTCCAATAGTAGCCACAGCCATAATGTAAGGCTACAAAGAGAAATCAAACAGAAGGAGGGAAACTAAAAAAAGTAAGGTTACAAAATTACTATGGAACATCCTGTGTTTTGAATTTTTATGGTGATACACAAGATCTTTTTTTCTATCAACAAAGAACTTCATGCTTTCTATAAATGCAAACAAAAGTCTCTAAAGATTACTTCACAATATACTGAAAGATACAGTGATATTTTGACAATCCTTTGCACCCTAACAAATGTTAATTTCTATAAGAATAACACAGTCACATTCACAATTTAGATCAGGATAATTACATAATTACAAACAATTTTAAAATGCAGGTATACTCAGGGGGATGATATTATTAAAATAATAATTTGGCCAAGATTTAAGACCTATTTTCTCTCCTCTATTAGAAAAGACTGCATTAATTTAAATTTAAATTTTTTTTAATTTTTCCAGAAAATTCAAAAGACCAAACCTTGGTTTAGTATAGCAACAACATGAACAATATAATAGCTCATTATCTACATAGCTATCTATAGTTTGCAAAGATGTTATACCCCAACAACTCCATGCTAAAGTGCTTGAAGACAGAAATAAACCCAGGTCTTCTGACTGTACATGGTATATTTTTCATTATGCTATTTAAACAATACATATCTACCATAGCATTTGAAAATGTGATCTTAATGTAATATTCTATTCTTTTCTTTTTCTTTTGAAACCCCAGATCCTCCAAAAGTTAACAGTTTCTTGACAACTCTCTCTCCCTCCCTCAGCCCCGCCCCCCAGCAACAACTACCAGGTACAAAAACATACTACATTTTATTTATTCAATTGACATCATATTGTATTTTTTACCTGAAACATTTACATTCTTAAACCCCATGTTTGTATTTTATAACTCCCAAGATAACAGCCTGAAGCATTCCATAAATAATTTAAGATGATTTTTTTTTTTAAAATAAGAAGGCATTTGTTAGAAGAATATTTCCAATATTTTTCTTTTTTTCAATATTGTAATATTTGGATGGTTTGCTTTTATTCATTCATCCAAAAAAATTTAAGTAAATAGTGTGTGAAAAGTACTGAACAAGGTATGGAGGATTCTGATGAAGTAAGACATAGTACCTTTTGCCAAAAGACCTACAATTTGGGCGGGGGTTGGGGGCAGAGGGATTGTAAGGTAAGCACATGCTGAGTACAAATGCAAATTCAGGATCTGGACAGACTGAATGAAAGCAGCTTTTTTAAAAAATATTTTTACTAATAGAAACACTCAGGAAGGACATGCAAAGTGGGTATGCACTGTCCAAGACAAGATTAGCTCACAGGAGTAAACAATACCGTCATTGAGGTTTGAGGAGCAACACTCCCTTTTAAACACTGGTTTATTCAGGATTCACCAGAAAGCAGGCCTTAATTTAGCCTATTCCCATCCTGGATTCCATGATTAAGAGCATATGCTTAAATCACTAACATCAAACATCCTAATTCCCCCTTGGGGCCCATGGTCTGGGCAGCAGAAGCAGAGGCAGCAGGGTACCCTAAACTAGGAAAACTGACCTTACTTCAGCAAAGAGGTTAAAAGAGCATACAGCCCCCTGGCCCCTGGACAGAGAGGCTTCTTTGAAACTCAATGCACCAAGAATAGCTTCCAGGGATTCCCAAAAGAAAGCAAGTCTTCCTCTAGTTCCTGGCAGGCTGCTCTGATCACCTGATTTACTTTAGGCTTATCTGAATCCCAAATTCACACATCAGGCAGCTACAGGTACTGGATCAAACCTTTCTTTTCTTAAAGAAGCTGCTCCTGATTAAGTTTGTAAACCTTAATTAATATCAGGCTGCATGCATCAGCATTTCCATAAGCCAAGTTGTGGCTTTCTGGTTGGGGTGCTCCGACTATGTTGCCACGCGGGTCAGTCTAGATCTTCTGGCAATCCATGTACCTCTCACAGGCCAACAGCTTCATGTTTGACTTGAGGCTCTCAAAGGTTCTTTCCCCACAACTGCTCTTTTCAAAGTGAAGGGCAGGATTGAGCCAGAAGGTGCAGGAGTAATGTCCAAAGGACATAAGGGACATAAGCCAGGGACCATATGATAGAAACTGAAATGTATTAACTGCAGAGGAAATATACAAAGCAAGTGCTATGAGACGGCTAGGAAAAGAGAAATTTTTGGAGGACTCAGGTGAGGTTTCATGAAGAAGATCACCCCTAGGCTGGGCTCTGAAGAAAGGGAAGGATCCCAACAGGAGAAACTGGAGAGGAGAGTAGGTGCAGTCTTTCCCTGTTTCTAAAAATCACTAAACTGATATAACACTTGTACCAGGAAAGAGAAAGCTGCTTAAAGATCTTCTAGGATTCCCTCACACCCAAGACAACTATTCAGTAAATTTACACAGCTATAATAGGAGCAAACCATTCAATGATGAAATAATCACACGAGCAGTTATAGGTTATAAGAAACTTTAAAATGGTTGTCACTCAGAAAACAGGATATTCCTTTTCATGGTAACTGTGCTGGTCACCCTGAATGACTATATTTATAGAGATCTGCCCCTAAATAAACTAATCTCAAATCTGTAATCAATAATGAATCTTGAAGGTCCTTAATGGTGATGGCATTTTCCCAACTCAAGTGAGCAAATAAAAAATGGAAGGCTTCTGTCCAATGATCTGTTTTAAGAAGCAGACTATAGCCAAAGTAAAAATTGTTAATTTAAGAATAGTGGTTTTAAAAAAGAAATCAGTGTCTATAAATTGCTTTTTTTCGTATCTATAATGTAGAGATTCTCACTTAGAATTTTCTTATATTAGAGAGATGACTACATTTCATCAGCTTTGTTGGTACATTAAGGATCTGCTGGTAGAGTGTGCAAAGAATATGGTATTAAGTTAAAAAGAAAAGCATAAAATTCATTCAAAATAATACAATTCATTATTACTCTGATATTCCACTGAAATTTCTCACAACTTCTCAATCACTTAAGTACACTGTGAATATAATCTTTAAACACAGGGATTATATATATATATATATATATACACAAATATATACATATACACACACACATATATATGTATTTATGTTTCTCTCGTACAGAAGTATGTGCCTTACTAGAAACTGAAGTGCGTAACAATTTATTTTGTTGAAATAGGTTTTCAAGAAATAGCTTCCTTCTTATATTCCAAAAAACGCCTTAAAATGATACACTTACCACACACACACACACACACACACACACACACACACACACACCCCCAGCAAATAACTATAAGATATTCCTGGTCCAAGTAATTATTAAGGATAAGGAGGTGGGAGAGAGACTACTAGTCGGTTCACAACCTTTTCTGGGGTCATGGAACCTTTTGGTAGTTTCACAAAGCCTAAGGACCCATTCTCAGAGTAAGGTTTTTAGGCATGAAACTAGGCAAGTCACTGAACCTTTCAGTGCTTTAGATAACAAAATACTATAAAATAGTTACAAAACTGTACCCCAATCTTCCAGTTCCCCTGTCCCCCTGATAGAGTGAGTTTCCTTAACCTAGAGTTCCCTATAACAATGAAAGTTCAGATTCCATTCCTATCCCTAAAATGTACATTTCTAAAGAAAGCTAAAGATGATAACATGCCATAATTCATTTGCTTTTCCAAGGTTTACTTGGATTTGACAACTTTAAGGATTTATTTCCCTTGAGAACATGTAGAAAACATCTTGCCAGTCCCTCCAACTCTACCTCAGTTAAAGGTGAACCTGTCAGAAACTCATTCAGCTAGGAATAGGAAGAAAATATTAAAGTGACATGTGTGATATATGAGTAGGAATGGAATTAATCCATTTAAAGTAAAATTATAAACAACAAAATGTATACAACAAAATGAAAAACAACCTTTTGCCTGTTGATACTTCATAAAGTACATAAAACATGTTCAAAAGAAATGTAAACAAGTTCAGTTTCACCTTCCAAACATAGCATATTGCTAATAATTCTAACTTCTGGCAATGTAGAGTCATTAGTTTTGTTTTTTGAAAGTTACATTTTTAGCCAAGTCAAGCATCCCTTCTTCTCCAATCTTCTCCAAGTTTTTAATCTTGTTTACTTTTCTTTACATACTATCTTTATATGTATATAAGGCTGCCAATAAAGAAAAGCCTCCATTAGACTAAATCAGCATGAATTATGGATATTCTAAGGATGACATCACTATACTTTTAAAAACTAAGCAATTAAATCCCAATACTCACAGAGAAGGATCTTGGACCAGGTCTTTGAGGTTTATCCCACTTCGGTCTTCTGCAAGGTTCCGAAAGCAGCTGTCACTCACTAAAAAGAGAGAAGGGATTGGGGGGAGACAGAAAATTAACAAATTTAAACAAAACCCACGTTGATTGCTAATTTGAACTTATGGAGAAAAGAGTCAAAGATTTTCTTTCATTCTTTTTTCATTTTAGACATTACAGTGAAGCTTTCACTTCTTACTATTCGTAGACTGACTAAGACTAATACTGTCAAACCAGTTAATCTGGATAAGAAAGTGAAAATTAATTGTCAGCTCAGCAGAGAATTTCTATTCCCAGTTCTTTGTTTTAAATCTCTCACTGCATGGTATCATCAAATGTATGTATACAACTTTTCTGGGAGTAGTATTGTCCCTACAGTAATTCTGTAACGAACAGTCAAATTGAGGAACTAGAAATGCTGACAAATGTTCTAATTTAAAGACTTCACTTTTATTAGAGAGGAGGTAATTTATTTAAATGGCACGTACAAATGATCCATAATATGTAGAATATGATCATAAAAATCAGATTACAAGAATTACAGTGCAAAAATCACATATGAGATGTCCTTCAGCTTCAAACCATATAAGAGTATGGTAGACAAGAACATTAGACTATAAATCAAAAGTCCTTATTCTGCTACTAACTTTGGACATATTGTTCAACATTCCTGTGCGCCTTCTGTTTTTCAACAAAGAAGGGTGGGAAACAAGCACTTATTATGTATCTACTATGTGCCAGTCACAGCGCTAAGACCTTTACAATTATTATCTCATGTGACTCTTACAAGAACCCTGAAAGTTGGTTGCTATTATTATCCCCCTTTGACAGTTGAGAAAGGTAACTTACCCAGACTCACAAAACTAGTAAGTAGCTGTGGCCAAATCTGAACTAAATTCTTCCTGACTTTAGGCCCAGTACTCTATCCATTGTGCCACCTAACTTCCTGAATTAGACTTTATTTAAGGTCTCCTCTACCTCTAATCATATATATAATTTTTTTCATTTTAAAAATCAAATTAAGGATTCCATTTAAAGGAGTACTTCTAAAAATATTGTTTTACTATTTTCATTTCGAATTACTGTGACCAACTGAAGCTCTGAGACTTAATCTTGTTTATTTCCTATAATCACATATACTGTACACATTTTTAAAAACCTAACAAATACAGATATGACAATTAATAAAAGTGTACTGCAACTAATCCAATTAAATATGCTTTGAAAACAAGTATAATTAAAATAGTCAAATCTGGAAGCCTACCACACATGATATAATGATGATTTGTTTTATATAACTTGTTTTATAATAATGATAACTTGTTTTATATACAAAACCTCATCTGATCCTCACAATAACTTTATAAAGTAAGGTACTGTGTCTTTTTTTTTTTCTTTTTTTTTTTTTGGTGAGGCAATCAGGGTGAAGTGACTTGCCCGGGGTCACACAGCTAGTAAGTGTCAAGTGTCTGAGGCTGGATTTGAATATTGTGTTGTTTTTCAGTCACATCTGACTCTTCATGACCTCATTTGGGGTTTTCTTAGCAAAGATACCAGAGTGCTTTGCCATTTCTTTCCTCCAGCTCATTTTAGAGATAAGGAACTGAGAGGCAAAGAGAGATGAGTGACTTGCCTAGGGTCACAGCAAGTAAGTGTCTAAGGCCTGGTTTGAACTCAGAAAGATGAGTCTTTTTGATTCCAAGCCTAGTGTTCTATTCACTATATGACCTAGCTGCCCATGAAGTAGGTAGTGTAGGTATTATGAAATTTCTAGTATAAATGAACAAGAACATTTAAAGAGGTTAACTGATTCAACAACTGTGATATAATAAATAAGTAATGTAGGCATGACAAACACAGATTCTAATGACACCAATTCAATGTTCATTCTACTATACTATACATATGTGTGAGTATGCTGAAGGGTGTTCTCTATACCATATATTTTAAAAACATTAAAGTTAATGAAATGTATACTTATATAATAAATATTTCATTGTTTGTTGGAATTTTAAAAAATAAATAAGACAGACATATCTCAGAAGTATAACAGGAACATTAAGTTTCATATATTAAACTAAGACCACTATAATTGGAAATCTATCAATTGCTCCTGCTTTGCACTTGGCATTACAGGAATAAAAAACACCAAGAGGGCTCTGGAAAGATGGTAGAGTAGGTCAGAAAATTCTAAGTTCTCCAGATTTCCCCTCCAAACAAGACAAAATAGCACCTCAGGGTGAACGTAGAGTAGTAAAAATAAACAATAGGTAGGGCATAACGGTGGTCCTACTAGGACAACCGACAAAAAATTTTAGGACCAAGGTTTGGTTCCTGTGAAGTGTGAACACCTGTGAGCTACTTCCACTGAAACAACAAGTGACAAGCCCTGGGGACAGCTGGGCTGGAAGGTAGGCTTGGCCTCAGCCACAGGAATTTTTACCTCCTGGACAGTGTGGGGAAGCCAGTGTCTGAGTTACGGAAGACTGAGGGAATTTCTGCTGATAAGAGCTAACAGGCTCAGCTGTGCTGCCAAGATGCAGCCCTGGGCAAAGAAGGAACCAACACACAACCTGTGAGTACAGAAGCAAAGGGGCAGAGACACCACTGACTGTCTACACTTACAGGAGGATAGAGTGCTTGGTTTCAGCTCCAGGCCAGAGGAGAGAACTGAAGGAGGATCTGAGGCCAGTGGCACCATCCCCCACACCTCAGGACTAGAGGTGATTACAATAATAAGCTGCTACAAATTTAAAAAAAAAAGAGTAGTCAAAGGAGAAAGAACTGAACTACAAAGAGCTGCTATGGAAACCGAGATGACTGAGGTTTATCTTCAGAGGATACTGAAGCAAAAAAAGTCTCTCTTACCTGAAAGAGTAATTTCAAATGGTCACCTGCCCAAAAAGAATTCATAGAAAATTAAGAAAGACTTTAAAAATCAAATGAGAAAGAGGAAAAATTAAAAAAAAAAAGAAAAAATAATCCAAGAAAAACACGATTACGAAAAAAAAAAGTCAACCAACTGGAAAAGGAGATCTAGAATCTTAAGGAAGAAAATGACTCCTTGAAAATTAGAATTGTGCAAGGAAAAGCCAGCAAAATTATGAGAAATCAAGAAATAATAAAACAAAATGTCAAGAATAAAAAAAAGAAGAGAATGTGAAACACTGCATAAGAAAAACTGATCTGGAGAACAGATCAAGAAGAGAAAACATATGAATAATTTGACTACCTGAAATCTATGATAAAAAAAAATCTTGATAAAATAATACAAGAAATAATTATGGTGTCCTGAAGTGCTAGAACAAGAGGGGAAAGTAGAAACAAAAAATCCAACAATCACAACCTAAAAGAAATCCTCCAAGGACAACCTACAGGAATATCACAGTCAAATTCTGAAACCCCCAGCTCAAGGGGAAAATATTTTAAGAAACAAGAAAAAAAAATCAAAATATGGCAGAGCCATAATTAGAACCACACAAGACCTCGCAGCAGTAACACTAAAAGACCGCGTATCTTGAAATAATATATATCGAAGAGCAAAAGAACTAGGATTACAGCTAAAAATATCATACCTGGATAATGAACATTCAAGGAATTGCCAGACTTTCAGGATTTTGTTGCCAAAAACCCTCAACTTAATAGAAAATTTTACATAAAAGATCCAAGAGAAATATAAGGCACACATCAAAGACCAATTGAAAGGGACAGTTTACTTTTTATATGAGGAAATGTAAAACGTATGTCTAAGACTGTTATTAATAATTGGGTAGTGTAAAAGAAAGATTGGAGTAAACCTGAGTATGAGGTGATTCTAAAAAGTAAAACTGATTAGGAAAAGGTAAAAAGAATAATTATACAAATGAGGTGTGAGAGGAAGAACTGACACAGAAGAATTAGACCAGGGAGGAGGGCTGTCAGTTCTAGAACCGTACTCTCATATGGAATGACTTAAAGAGGGAACAATACATATGTATGTATGTATGTGTGTGTGTGTGTGTGCGCGCGCGCGCGCGCGTGTGTATGGGTATAAAAGTCTTCTAAATCCACAAAGAAACTAAGGTGACAGGGATGGGGGAGAAAATAAGAGAAGGATTTTTAGAGGGAAGTATACTTACATTAGATCTGGTTTAAAGAGAGAAATTTTATAAATACATAAATAAATAAATATGTACACACACACACACAAACTCACTGAGGAGAAGTGAATGCCTCACTGAGGCACAAGAACTCAGTGAAGAGAAGAACTCCTTAAAAAGTAGAATTGGCCAAATAGAAAAGGAGGTACAAAATCTAAAAAAAGAAAACAATTTGTTAAAAATTAGAATTGGGCAAGGGGAAGCTAATGACTCTATGAGAGATCAATAATCAGTCAAACAGAAATAAAAGAATGCAAAAAATAGAAGAAAACATAAAATACCTCTTTGGTAAAACAACTGACCTGTAAAATAGGTCCAGGAGAGACAATTTAAAAATTATTGGTCTACCTGAAAAACACAATGAAAAAAAAGAGCCTGGACAACATCTTTCAGCAATGCAAGGATCTAAGACAGCTCCAAAAGTCTCATGATGGAAAATGCTATCCACATCCAAAGAAAGAACTATGGAGTTTGAATGCATATCGAAGCATACTATTTGCTTTTGTTTTCTTCTATTTTGTTTTGTTTCCTTTTTCTTGTGTTTCCTCCTATTGGTTCTAATTGTTCCTTACAACATGACTAATGTGAAAATACATTTAATAGGAGTGTATATGTATAGTCTATATCAGATTGTATGCCATCTTAGGGAGGGAAGTGGGAAGGGCAGGGAGGGGGAGAAAAATTTAAAACAAAAAAGTGTATGGAAGTGATTATTGATAAATCAAAATAAATTAATAAAAAAAGAAAAGCATAACAAACATGCAATAGAAATTATATATATATAAAAAAAAGAAAATCATCAAAGAAAACCGCCCCGAGGTCCTAGAACCAGAAGGTAAAATAGTCTTTGAAAGAATCTACCAATCATCTTCTGAAAGAGATACCAAATTGAAAACGCCAAGGA